ACTACAGATCCCTCGTTTTGACGTTCACTTCTATGAGATCTGAGGTTTCCAAGGCGCGGTGATTTTGTCGACGTTCTTCTTCTGGGCAGCAACGTCTTGTGGACGTTTCGAAGGCACATACCGTCTCCATCTTGCCGGAACCAGAGACTTCCAGGCCGAGAACCTCCCGACTCACGCGAGGGCGTCACTGTTACCAGCACAAGAGCCAATTTCACTGCAAAAAATTCTGCGAGCTATTGTGATGTGTACTCACCGAGGGCTCCGGCTGCTCCATGTGAAAGACGTCGCAGACGCCACCGGGCCTGGCCTGCAGGTTCGTTTTTCTCCTGCGAACAGACAGAAGAGCGGCCATGATGAGTCGCTCGTTGCTTGTCACAGGCGTGACTGCAGGTGACCACTGGTACCGGCCGGCGCTAATATGGCGGGCGGAGGAGAGGGAGGAAAGAGACGGAATGGGAGGGAAGATAAACAATGGTCAAAAGAGAGGAGGGTGACAGAGAAGATGAACGAACATAGAATAAAAGAAAAGATGAAAAGGATGCGAAGGATGGGAGAGAAACGAAATTCTGACGAGCATAACCTTTGATAACGAGATGCAATATTCGCCAAGGGTTCGTGGCCCACGGGTTGATCGCCACAGGTACGATACTGAGTGCAAGCCACTCCTGGCGAGTGAACAACACTGTTACGTTTTATATTTACTAGACGATGGATAATATCCAAGGAAATTTTTTATTCAACTGACTCTTCACCATCGTCAAGAAGTTTAGATTTGATAAACACTGCTTTTCGCCTTGGCAGAGATTGCAAAGAGTTCGTTTTAGTATAAACGCCCGCCTAAGAAATGATCCACAACGCAGACTGGCTTTAACAATGAGAATTCTTCACAGATCTTTTGTTATTTCATTGTTGTACAGACGTTCTTTAACAATCGGAGTCTGCGCGCGACAAAAAAATGCCTGAATGAATTATAAAATATTTTTATCGGCGATTCAGAACGCAACAAACACGTAAGAAAAATCAAGGACAAAGCAAGGAGACGCAAACCTAACCTCACTCTTGAAAACTTGCCCGGGGTAAAAGTCTTGTCAGTGTGACGTGATGATGGGGGCAGAGATGACATTGATGATATTTGTAATTTAACCAACTGATACGTCTGATACGCCCGAGAAAATTTTCGGAATAGCATTTTAAACACTCTGTGGCGATCACAATAGAAGTTTTCTCCTCAAACTTGTGGTTTGGAGAGAAACGGGCTCTTGCGAACAAAAGAACGTCTTAAAGCGTCTGTGCCTATTAGCGTAACACCAAACATTTCGTCACTTGTAATGTAACACAGCGGAGAACAAATAAATATTTGCATGACTCATGGTTCAGACGATAAATTTCGTAGGCACATTTTGAAAAATCCTGAGTCACACAAGTCAGGGTCCTGAAGACAATAAAACTTCCTTCTTTACCGTTTTCCAGTTCCGAGACACTCGTAGGGAATCTTGTGGCAAATATTTGGAAACCGCGATTCGTTTCCTGTCAAATGTTGGCCAAACCTAACAAACACTTCTCGTTATTTATTGCATCGTTTTAGCAAGAAAGCATCTTAAACAAAATCTTACGCGCCCCGTACCACCAATCTATATCCGTCTTTCAAAATGCCACTTAAAATGAGGGCACACGTTTGAAAACACCAAACAACTGGAAATAAAACAATTACTTTAAACGTTTTCTGAGTAAAGCCAAACGACCACATTTCAAATTATGGACAGGAGAACCCGTGAGGGTGGGAGGGGCTTTTGCAAACCGTGTGTCGCAACTTCCTGGGACCGCACGAAAACTTTAAACCCGTTCTTGTGCCACAAATTCTATTCGAGATCTCGCTACCGAAACTTTGACGTACTTAATAGGAATCCTGCAGCGATTATGAAAACACAAACACAGCTTCCATTATACTAACACATTTAACTGCGGTAGAGATGCCCCTGGGAGGAAACTGTCTATTTGTTGGCATATTTTACACAAGGTGACGTAAATAAACATTCTAAATTGAGAAACAGAAGTAAACCTGTCCCACCACACGCCATGCAGGGGCTTGGGGGGAGAGGCTGTACAGCTCCTACTCATTCCTAACCTCGCCACTAGATGGGGTTGGGTGCGTTGTCAGTAGAAACATAATTTAATCCTGAAGAGGTAAGAC